AATTTTGAATGAACATAGAGTCATTCAGACAAATTATGAAAAAATTGCAGGAAGAGCAATAAAATGAAAAGCATTCAAATTCAATTTTTTTGTCATTACATACAAGTAGAGGAGTTCATTTACCCTTTTTTTCTCAAATGACATCTAGCTCAACTAGCACACAAACCATTGAAATCTCAAGAAACGAGCAGCAACATTATCTACTTTTAAGGATTTGTGAAATATTGATCTTATTGAATATAGTGAGGATTGGTTAAAAAAGTATAGTTAAAGAAGAGGGAGTTATATCCATGTCGAAGTATTGGTGATTCCTTTGTAGACTTAAAATGGGGTAACTATTTTAGCACGCACATTGGAAAGCCACTGATATAGCAGGCTCATTGAGAGAACATCCTGGTGTAGTCAGTTTCTGAGGATAGTTTTATTATGATATGACAGGAATCTATGAGCTCAATAGAATGAGTGCCAACCAATTTTAAGTCTTACAAAAAGCTATGGATGATTTTCTTGTTAGAATGACCTATAGAAAATTTGCTAATAATAGAAAATTGAAGAGCCAAGGAAAGTTTTATTATAATATGACAGGAATATACGAGCTCAGCAGAAAGGGTTCCAACCAAATTTAAGTCTGCCAAAAAGCTATGGATAATTTTCATGTTGGTTGGCCTATAGAAAATTTAGCCAGATAATTTGGCCAGTTAAATGAACTACTCGTATGAGGCTGTATTGCATCTTGATTGAAGAATAAGAGAAAATAATTACTTGGTGGGGATGAATGAAATCTATCATTTAGCCCACCAATAACATCATCAAAAGAGTGTGGGAGTTGGCTAGGAGGTACATTTGGGGTATGCGGAGATGATCTGATAAGAGTTTCAAATGTGACTCTACAAAACATAAAAGAAGAGAGAAGAGGAGGAGCTTGTTGAAGAATTGGTGGCAAGGAGATTGATTCGAGTTGGAAAGTGGAACCATAGGAAGAGCATCAATTGGAAACGAAGGGAGGGAGGGAGGGAGCATGAAAACTAAGATGAGAGGTAAAATAGAAGTTTGTTATAAATGAGAAAAAAAGGAGAAAACCAAAAATTCTTATGTCTAGGAGGGAGGGAAAATGCATTCCTACTAGATTTGGAATGTTGCTTGACAAGGAAACCAATGCCATGAGGTGTCATCTAGAGAGTGAGTGCTCAACAACAAACACATGGTGTGTCGCTATAGTGCCATTCTTGATGTGTGATGGCGAGGCTTTGAAGCGAATAGTGATGAGCTGTAAGGCAAGAAACTATGTTGGGTCGGGTGATGCGACCTAGCGGGATGAGGGCTAGAAAGGTCCTTATGAACAAGGGCGTTGTGGGCGTGCTACGTGTGGATGACTGTGATTAGGGCTGAGAAGATCAAACACACAGAGAAACGTGACGCTCGACTCCCATAGCAGAATGTCATAAGGGGTGAACGACATTTATTCCTCTTTATATTCTAAAGAGAGTTTGTCTAGTTCTCTGGTAAAGGAGAATGTGGGTTGCTATATTTTGCCTAGAGATTTGCAATCTTTTTCTTAAAACGATGTAGTCAATTTAGAACTAGCATGTTTAAGGATCTCAACCTTTGCTTTCTTAAGATACCTTTTTAAAGTTGGGGCTTTCACTTCATCGGTACCCGACACATTGTTTATCATTAGCTGAGAGTTTTTAAACACCTTCAAATCTCTCACTTTAACTATAGTTGTGAGTTGAAGGCTAGGAAGGATTGTCCCATATTTCACTTAATTATTTGTTACCTTAAAGCAAATTTGAGTGTCAAGAGCAAAATGATCCTTTGAGGAGTCTTGAACTTTCAATTTTGTTGTTGTTGCTATTCTCTCATGACACTCAATTAATGTTCATGAACAAATAGTTCTTTTTTTTCAAACTTCAATTTGATCTTCGATTTGGACGATAACTACGATGATGGTGGCAAAGGAACAATGTTACTTCAGTAGTGATAGAGATCGTAGGGTAGTGGGAGGCTTTTGGAGTTGCAATCAAACGTAATGGGGTCCACGGATGAGTATTGATGTGAACATGAATACAACGACACGCGAGGGGGCAAACGAGCGCATGCGCGACCATGGGGGCAAGCATGTGCGGTTGCATGTCCGAGAGAGCGCCAATGTGGCGACAAGTGCACGGGGGTAGTGGTGTGGCGACAGAAGCACGACTAAGGGCAAACGAAGTAGTAGCGCAACAGGGGGGTGCGAGGGTCAGAGCATTGGCTCAGGTTAAGTCAGGTTGGTTTGTGACATTATCAGCGAACGATTGTGTCGGTTGGCTGAGGCGGTCAGGTTGCGATGCTATCGGCGAAAGATTTTGTGGGACAGGACGGGCTGGGAACGGTTGTGTGAAACATTTGTGTGCTTCTGCGCTCTGCTGCTTGCCCACGTCTCCTCCACAGATCGACTTCCCTTTTAACTTGTTGTTGCCTCTTCTCTTGGTTGTTGTTGCTTCATCTTCTGGGCTGTTGTTGCTTCATCTTCTGGGCTGGTGTTGCCCCATCTCCTAGGCGGTTGTTGCCTAACATCTGAGTCCCTTTTAGCTCGTAGTTGTCTCACCTTCTAGGCTGTTTTTGCTTGAAATTTAATTTTAAATGTTGTTTTTGGTATGTATTCGATTTCATAATTATTGAAAACAATGGCTACTTCATGAGTCGTCAGAGAGTTCTGGTTTTCAAAGCACTTGTTAGAGATGTGTATTAATTACTATTTAATTTGAAGAGATTGAAACTAAAGTTTTTAAGTTTCTTGAAATCTGCGGGCTTAAAAAATTCGTGCCCATCTAAAAGTGATTGTTATTTTGGGTTAAATATTCAAACAATAGATTGGACCAGAGAGTTTTGGTTTTCAAAGCACTTGTTAGAGAGGTGTATTAATTACTATTTAATTTGAAGAGATTGAAACTAAAGCTTTTAAGTTTCTTGAAATCTGCGGGCTAAAAAAATTCGTGCCCATCTAAAAGTGATTGTTATTTCGGGCTAAATATTCAAAAAATAGATTGGATTTATGATAACATAATATCCAGAGTTTATGCCATTCTTTTACATGGATTTTATGATCTAATTTCAGGGTCTTTATCGGCGTAATCCCTTATTGTTGATTATTTCTCATGATTATAGGAGATAACTTTTGATTTGTGAAATCATTAAGTTGGCATGAGCTCTATTTTTGTATTGAAAATTTTATCACTATAGCTTAAAGTAGATGGTGAGGGAATGATAATGGACTTAATCAAATCCCATGGTTTCATAATCCTAAGTCGCAGAACCTAATCTACTTAGATGAATCAATTAACTCATTTAATTGAAAAACTCTTATCAATAGCATAGGTTGTGTAACTTGCCTTCCAAGAGAACTATGTTGCTTTACTGACCTGTGGTAGATTTTGTTTAGTGGATAAATTTAAGTTGATTCTTACTAATAGAGAGCCTCATGCCCAATTAAATAAACTCTATAATTCACCTCTCAAGAGATTTAGTTCATTGGGGAACTCACCAACTTCGGTCAAAGAGCTTTGATATTGTCGTATATTTGTGTGTTGCTGACAAAATCGCGCAAGCATATGACGTATGCCACGTTCTTACTGGCATAAGATCTTTAAGAGCGGTCATAAATATATGCTTGGTATGATAAATTGCTCTTTGTGAGCCGAGATCTTGTTAAATTTATAAAATTTGATGAACTGGTGTTGAGGCATTATTGCTCATTAGTAAGAAGCCGCAAATTTTGTTTGAATTTTTTGAATTGTATAGTTTTTTTTTTCTTTCATATTTTTGTAAGTTCATCTGAATTTTACTGAAACTGGACTTCATTGAGCTATCTTGGATCTTGATCCGTTCATCAAAGCACTCACCTTGCTTTCCTTCCAGAATGCAGTGCAACAAAAAAGTAAACCTACAGTGTTTCTATGGAGGTAATGGGTGAAGTGAGTGGTGGAGATGTGTTAGATGATGTAAAAGCTAAGGCAGGTCGTGGGTGTAGCTATAACATTTGAGAGAGGAAGAAAAAGAATGAAAAACTTAATTAATTGTCGGGAAGATAATTAACAAACTTTGTTCCTCATTTAGTGATTAATTTGTGAAAATATATTTTGTCCATCCCAACACATGGTTGTTTGAGCATGGCAATGAAAAAATAAGCATTAATACAAGCCAAACCTTGTTCATAATCACCAAATTAATTAGGATTTTCTTTTATTGTGTCTTCTGAATTCTTAAATTTTTGGACTCATTTTAGTTTTGCTGAGTACCATTTCTTGCCTTCCCATTCTTGAATATATAAATTTACTGCCTAAATGCCTACACATTTTGCCTCTGGCTTTAGGAAACTGAAGGAAATGAAATGAATTACAAATAATTACTGGTGGATTATGAATTAACAACCATCAAATTAAGATTTTCTATTTTTTCTTTTTTAATTTCTTTTTTACTCATTGCCAGCATCCAATTAAAGTTCTTAATTGCATAGGAGTACAAGTGGTGAATAAGACTACTCATGACGAGCAATAGAAACCATGGTCAGGATTTTCCTTTTTTATAATGTCAAATCTCTTAAAATATATGACGACCTCTCAAAGTAGCAACATCAGCATGCGGCCATTGTGTTGTCACCATGGCTTTACTTGTCGTTCTTTATATATTTTCATGTACTGAAAGCATGCATTTTTCCCTCTTCAAAATAAATGAAAAGAAGGGGGCATTTACATAAAATGATACATAACACCCAATTCCTATGTATTTACATATCTAACACCTAAACTTTACGTTTTTTTTACATTTATACCACCATTTCAACTTTCAAAAAGTGAAATGCACCGTTTCATGCATAGGTCAGGCGGCATGTCTGTAAAAATTGAAGTTTAGTTGTTGGATATGTAAATACATCGGAATCAAGAGGTATGTATGTAAATCTTCCAAAATAATAAAATAAAAAGCCATCACTTTCCATTTCTTTAACTTTTATACTGCGATAGTGTAGGCAGGCAAGGTATATTGGTCCATTTTTTTTTTTTCAATCCAAGTTATCGGCTCTGGTGGTGATGTTGCAGTGGATGCCACCGCTCCTCCAGTTGGAAACAACTAATGCCTGCAATTCTTCTATCCACCCAAAGGCAGGTTCATTCTATCTACCTTTAATTATTTCCTTTATTTTGCACGTTTTATATACATTGTTGGATGATATTATGCATTCACTGAAATTTAAAGGATAAAGACTGTTCACCACTGAGTGTATCACTCTGCATTGTACCTCTCAGGCCTTTCACAGCACTAACCTTTACAGTAAAGGATATGGTCTTTATTAATCCTCTTTTAAGTCTGGCTTTAATAGCTAAGTAGCAGAGTTCCACGGCATGTTAATGCGTTTATTAGTTCATCTTTTCACATTATATTCCTCCTTTTCCCCTCACTTTCTTCTTTTAGAATACATTATTAATTTAAGCTGATATCTTGACCCAAATTCTCGCGTACATTAATCCTATAGAGCATTTAAAACAACCCTCAACTCGGCCTGATAATATGATAGTTGAGTGAAATAGAAGTAGTTGTGCTCGAATGCGTGGTATATTGGCTGGCAATAAAGTGAAGAATCTCCATGTATTGTATTGGAGCATTCACTTTGTCCTAATAAAAAAAAAGAGAAAAATTTACATGTATACATAACATAATTATTATGTATTTGTATATTTCATCCCTTAACTTTCATATTTACATAGCCTTTTGTTGCTTTAAACCTGTGCTTAAAAATAAATATTTTATTTTAAAAAAGTGACTGGATTTATTTTTTATATGATATTAAATATTTGATATTATGTGTGAAAATGAAAATTTAGATGTGAGATTTGTATATACCTAAGAATAGGTGGGTGCTCTGTAGTTAAATATCTCCAAAAAAAAAAATAAAAAAATTTAAAAAAAAAAATTGCACTGTCTAGCCTTGTACGGAACTTTGTGACTATTGTCTCATGTGGTCTCATGTGGCTGTCAATTTATGTCCACTCTATTCATTTTCTATCAAATTGTTTTCTTTCAACCTCAATTGCTTTCTTTTTGGAAATTGTGTGCCGAAGCCCCTATTCTTGGAGAAAATATTGCGTCCGAGAGTCCTGACGTAACTCGCGTCCAGACAACTGACGTGATACAATGGAAGTCCAAACTCCCGCTCCGCCCCGCTGTATCACGTCCTGACATCCGTTGTCCGGACGTAATATTTTTTTTCTCTATTCTTGAGACCGAGGTTTGGGCACTAATTAGGAAGAAATATTATTTAAGTACATATTTGATAGTATTATAAAATTATTTTCATGATATTCACGACAATATCATCATAATATCACCAATTCAAATATACAATATCTGTACATAATATTTCCTCGCTAATTAGAGATATTTGAAGCATTAAACTTTTGACTTGTAAAACTTTTTCAAGCTGACCTTTTGATGGAGTGATCACAATTCAATACAGCGCGCTTTAGTTTTAATTGATTTAGCAGCTCTTTGGAATCTTAAGAGGTGGAGGCGGGTATTTAGATTCCGGTAGTCGTGCGAGATTGCATGCCAAAGCTTTTTTTAATCCTAGTCTGCTTTCAGAGAATATTCAAGGCTATAAAGTTCTATCATCTTCTAGCTTAAGAATACATTTATTATATTCTTTGTTGCTTGTGCCTTTTGCTGATCCTGCGGGTACAGTGGCTTTTTTTATTTCTCAACTTGCTGCGAATTGTGTTTTTTTAAGGCTCGAAAAGATTTTTTTTATTTATTTATTTATGAAAGGAATGTTTACAAACATACCACTCAAATCCTGTGTATTTACATATCTAACACCTAAATTTGATGTGAAAGATTTGGTTGGCAGAAATATGAAAACTAAAGTTTAGGCGTTAGATATGTAAGTACATGGCAATTGGGTGGTATGTATGTAAATGCTCCTAATTTTTATTATAAGAAATAGCTGAGTTGTAATTAGCTTATTCAAATAATTGTTTTATACAATGTTGGCTTGAATTAATAAATATATAAAATAAAATATATTTAAACATTTAATATTTTACAATAGGACGCTTAACTATTAAAAATAAAAATAAAAATGTTCTTCAATTTTTTTTTTTAGTTGAAGGATATTAATTAATCACACGTGTGAGTAATGCTCAATTTAAAAATGATTCTGAATTTATATTAAACCATCAATTTGATCGATATATATGTTTTTTGTTCAAATTAAAATTATTTTAAAATATAGTTTATAAGTCGGAAAAATACAATTTAGGTCATGAATAATTTTTAAAAATAATCAAATTTATATTTAGCAAATTTAAAATTAAATTTAATTAATTTGAGAAAAAAATTCTCATAAAAATTTCTATTAGAAGATTATAATCAAAATCTATTTCCTGTAAAACAAATAGATATAAAAATCTATGCATGAACATGTGTAATTCACTTTTAAGAAATAGCAAGTGTTTTAGTTTTGATGTGAAATTAAAGAATTGAGCATTGTTTGTGTAAATATGAAAGTTTAGGTTTGAGATATGTAAAAACATAAGAATTATGTGATATGCATGTAAATGCCTATATAGGTCACATATAAGCATTTACTAAGCATTTCAATTGCTAGTGCACATGGGACTGCATTTGACCTAAAAAATAAAAAGTAGCATTGCCATGGGTATGAATGGAGTATAAATTAAATATAATGGGCTGACGAATCATAGTCTGATTAGATCATAATAAAGTTAATAAGGTGCAACTTGGCATGCATGATCAATATTAAAATTTTGAGAGAGAAAAAGAGAGAAGGGGAGAGATTTACTTTTATGTTTTATATGCAATTGGTGCAAGGTGAGGGGAGACATTTGACAATTCACAATAAAAGTATGGGGGCATTTACATACATAACAATCAATTCTAATATATTTACATATCTCACATCTCTTTCATATTTATGGAAAATATTTGCGTACGTAAGAAGTACGCAGAGCTGCGTACGTCGGTACGTCGGGAGGTTATTCAGGTTATTCAGATGTTATAAGAGGATTATATCCGTGTTATACCCCCCTTTAACCTCCTTGTAACCTACCTGTAACCTAAAAATAAGTTCCGCGCTTCTGTAGTTTCGGTAGTTATATGTAAGTTACAGGGAGGTTGCAGGAGGGTATAACGCAGATATAACTCATCTGTACCCTCTGAATAACCTCCGACGTACGCAGCGCTGCGTACGTCTCACGTACGCAAATATTTTCCCATATTTACACACATAGCATTCAAATCTATAATATAACATTAAAAACAATACCATTATCATTTTTAAATGTGAAATACAATTTTTCATGCAAAGAATTAAATATGAAAGCTTGGGTGTGTAAATAGATAAGATTATATGCCTGATATGTAAATTCCCTGAAAGTATTCACTAATTATTAAATTTTGGCCCAGCTGCTTTTCCTGCGTTGCATTCGAGTCGAGAGAAGCGGGGACCATCACGCGCTCCTATGGAGATCTGCGGGTAAATTCTTACCCATAAAAAGTCTTGCCACACAGATGCCTGTCACGCCTGTGCGGAGATGTGGACACCACTATTCTATTTCAGGATTCTGCAAGGATTTTCCTACTTGTAAATCTTTTATTTTTTCCTTTTGTTTTTCTTATTTGAGATTTAATGATAATTAAATTTGAAATTAGGATTTTACATACATACCATTTAATTCTTATGAATTTACACACATAACACCTACATTTCAATTTAGATATATAGTGATATTTTTATATGATATAAAAGATTTAGGTGATATAAATATAAAAAAAAGTAGAGTTTATGTGTTAGATATGTAAATACATAAGAATTGGTGATTTTTATATCAATTCCAATTCAATTTAGAAATTTTGCATATTCATAAATTTAATTATAAATTCCTTAATAAATTAAAAATTATATA